AAAGTTCACAATCTTCTTGGGAAATCAGTCATGGTGGAGAAGCTTCTATGTTCACCCCACTGTTAACCTACATTTACCTCCCAATGCACAGATGGAGATGAAATATTTTCTAGGACTTGCTCTCATGTCAATAGGAAACAGCAAGAAAGATTTCACATGTTAACTAACTGCATACCATAAAGTATTTTCCCTCTGTGTGGCTATACTACAGTAGGATTGGAGAAACCTTGGTCCTTCAGATGTTCTCAACTTCAAGTTCTAGAAATTAAAGGAAGATAGTTATGACAGTCCAAAATCTGAAGAGCAAAAGCTTTTCCACTACATTACTACAACATTCTCAACCCCCTACAGTTGTTGCTACATAGCTCCTACCAGCTGTTCTATAGTGCAACTCCCACTATCCCTGACCATTGCCCACACTGTCTAGAGCAGTGGTTCTCAACCTGTGGGTCACCAGATGTTTTGGCCTTCAACTCCCAGAAATCCTAACAGCTGGCAACTGGCTGGGATTTCTGGGAGTTGTAGGCCAAAACACCTGGGGACCCAAAGTTTGAGAACCACTGGTCTAGAGCTTATGGAAGTTAAATATCTTGAAGGACTCATGTTGGGGAAATGTGTATAAACACACATTCCTTATCAGACATGTCAGCCTGGAAAAGGTCCCTGAAGGAAAGAGGACTGGAAACTATTGTGCTAATAATACAGAAGTGGTTAACTAGTTTCCCAGACATACTCACTGAAATATAATGTTAGAGTCTTCTCAGCCTGGCCTCTTGTCATTATAAGTCATATATATTCTGCACCTGGATGGGTTGGATAAGATCTTTCTCATGAAATCTAAGCTCCCTCAAAGCAGTTCAGTGATGGTTTATTGGTATGTTCCATTTTGCAGCAGAGTAACGTGTTGGCAGAAAAGAAGGAGACTTCTGTATTCAAAGAATTAACAGGGTTGAAATTATATCTGCTCTTATCTTCATCATCTTTTCCTGTAGAGGTGACTCGTTCAAGGGATTCATTCCAATGTGGTAAATGGAGAACTACTCCTGAGCTGGCAGAAATTCATTTGTCATATTCCCTGTTATACTGAAGAAAACAGCTGCAAAATTCCAGCTGCCATCCTGAGCAGAAATAGTTTCTTGAGTGACATGTTATTACCGCACACATGGTTATTCGGACAGCCAACAGCATGAGGCCACAAAGCTGTTTTGGTTGGAAGGAGTTCCTGTAAGTTATGGCATTTCAAATGTACGTGTAGTACTACACTAATACAGCTAATGTGGCAGACTATTCAGGACTTAAGATTGTTAGGGATTCAGTGGATTAGTAATGGATAGGGGACATTTTCCATCTGTGGCTGCCCTCTTGTGTTTAAGTCCTAATGCAATAAGAGTAAGTTCAGTGGAGCTTACCTTTGGATAAATACTGTATATTAACAGCCAAAACCAAGCTCTCCTCTAGTAGCTGACCATTCACAATTGATCTAACTCAGTCACATGGAGTAATTATTATTTTGGAAGCTCAGTGCAGAGGGCCCAACAACCAGCCCTTCAAGGCTTATCAAAATAGAAAAGTCATTAGCTTTTTACAGAAAGAAAGCCTAACCTTTATGAGAAGAGAGTTCCAGAGCCTTGGGGTAGCCACTGAAAAGGCCATCTCCTGTGTTTACTAGGGCTGGGCGGTTTCGTTCGTTAATTTCGTAATTCGTTAATAATTCGTTATTTTTTGGGTAAACGAAGCGATAACAAACCATCCAGGAGCAACTAAAAAACGAAACGAATTTTTAAAGCTATTTCGTAATTGTTTTGTTATTGTTTCGTTATTATTTCCGTATGTGTCTGGTGCAAGTTTTATAGTTGTTTCCCTCCCCTCTCCCTGGTTGCAAGCGGTCGGCATTTACCCCACTTCCGGGTCCCTGGCCTCTGCTTAAGTGGATCAAATTCTCCTCTCCTCCTGTCGTCACCTCACCTCGTTCCTCACTCTGGCCTGCGTGCATTGGGCAAAGAGACACAGCAGTGCAGCACTCAGAGACCTGCCTGTTGCCTGCCTAACCTCTTTCCTTCTCCAGGTTAAAACTATTATATTAATTATATTTATTATTATTATTATTATTATTATTATTATTATTATTATTATTATTAATGGATGGCCATCTTTCAGTACTGCTTTCACTGTCCCTTACATTCACGAAGGCAGAAAGTGGTTTGTTATTATTATTATTATTATTATTGAGAAGAAGCATTGTCAAACCAGAATAGAGATCTCACCCCTCCTCTCTCTCTCTTCCCCCCCTTTCCTTCTCCAGGTTAAAACTATTATATTAATTATATTTATTATTATTATTATTATTATTATTATAAGAATGGATGGCCATCTTTCAGTACTGCTTTCACTGTCCCTTACATTCACGAAGGCAGAAAGTGGTTTGTTATTATTATTATTATTATTATTATTATTATTATTGAGAAGAAGCATTGTCAAACCAGAATAGAGATCTCACCCACCCTCCTCTCTCTCTCCTTCCCCCCCTTTCCTTCTCCAGGTTAAAACTATTATATTAATTATATTTATTATTATTATTATTATTATTATTATTATTATTATTATTATTAAGAATGGATGGCCATCTTTCAGTACTGCTTTCACTGTCCCTTACATTCACGAAGGCAGAAAGTGGTTTGTTATTATTATTATTATTATTATTATTATTATTATTGAGAAGAAGCATTGTCAAACCAGAATAGAGATCTCACCCACCCTCCTCTCTCTCTCCTTCCCCCCCTTTCCTTCTCCAGGTTAAAACTATTATATTAATTATATTTATTATTATTATTATTATTATTAAGAATGGATGGCCATCTTTCAGTACTGCTTTGACTGTCCCTTACATTCACGAAGGCAGAAAGTGGTTTGTTTCACCCCTCCTCTCTCTCTCTTTCCCCCCTCTTTCCTTCTCCGAGGTTAAAACTATTATTTAAAACTATTATTTTCACGTCGCGCAACCGCGTCCGCCATTTTAACGAATTGATTCGTTAATATTAACGAAATTTCGTAAATACCGAACTTTTTAAGGGAAAATTTTGTAATTATTTTAAATATCGAAACAAAAAAACCCCCCCAAATACAAATCGATTTTAGAAACAAATTTTTCCGTTGTTACCCAGGCCTAGTGTTTACACCAGATGTACCTATGTGGGTTTTGGAACAAAAAAAAATATCTCCCCAGCAGATCTGAGAATATAGATTCATAAGGAAGAATACCATCCTAAGAATAACCCGAACCTCAGCAGTATAGAACTTTATAGGTCTAGCCCAATCTGTTGAATTAATGGGAAACGTGAAATACTGTAGTGGGTCTCCCAACCACGATGAAGAGCTAAGCAGTAGCTGAACTTCTATCCAGCCTTCCCTCCCTGCCACCCCTGCACACACATACACACAACCTGGCAGGGAAAGAAATCAAATGTTTTCTTTGAAAGGTGTAATTGTGCAAAATCAACTCAGGGTCATCTTTTTGAATTCTCCATGATATCGAGATTGCTGGAACATCTTACCTAGATAAGCTCTTTTAACACATACTTCCTGGAGGACAGGTATGGAAAGAGAGGTGTGAAAGCAGATTTGACATTAGAGAATATAGGAATGCTGTGTGATGCAGAAAGAGAACACACGAATAGAAAGTTGCCATAAATAATGTGCCTAAACTCCCAGAGAATGACATGCAATCTCACTATGAACATGGGGGTCAAGAAGCTAGGGGAAACCATGGAGCACCATACCACTGCCTCCCCTTACTGTGATTGGATGTGCGCTACCATCCCACGACGTTTCCCTGAGTTTCTTCTATGAGGAGTCAGGGAGTCACCCAACTCCTCAAGGCTCCATGTCTACACTGCTGGCATGCTACCAGCATGGAGCCCAATGGAGCTCTGCCAGGATGGGCTCCAGCACACTCTGTGCAAGCAACGTGCCATCCATGAGATGAAGTCGTACTAGTGAATACAGGCATGCAAAGGTTGCTAACTGAATTGTGCCCAGAAACAGGGTGGTAGGGAATGGAGTTGTTGCAATGCTGGATTAGACTAGAAACTGATCTAGTCCAGGATTATGTTCCTATAATGGCCAACTGAGTGAGCTGGGTGAGAAAAGTGATATATACATACTGTAAATAAATAAACTAGAAACCCATAAGCAGGGCACCCAGGCAAAAATAAATTCCCACTTGTGTTTTTCAGTGCAACTGTTATTCAGAAGATAAAGGGTTCTTGTAGACTTTTGTTCATGAACATTTCTTCCAAGCTGCTATCTCTGTTACTATCCTTTTGATGCCAAATAAAACCTTTCATCTGGTTCCTTGACCAACTTGTGTCCAACTTTGAGGACACATAAAAATATATAGTGGAACTGTTCTCGAAATCATTTAAATCTATTTAAAAGACAAACAGATGAATTCAGTGTCTTGTTTCCCATATAAACCTGCCTGGGTTTCATAGACTTTGTGGAAGGACTTTCTCTTGGCCTCACCACCTGCATAGTCTCATCTGGCAATGCCACAGAGGAGACCGTTCTCAGTGGCTTGCCCAAGACTATGTAATTACCTGCAAGGTAGCCTTACTTGCTGCCCCTCCTTTTTTCTTTTTTGCTAATTGGCAAATATTTAATTAATTAATTAATTAATATGTTTGTTTATACCTTGCTTTAGCTACCCAAAGGGGACTCAAGCAGTTTGATATACGAGGGTTGAATGAAAAGTAATGCCTCCACTTTTGTAACTCCTCAACAGATGGCAGAACTGGTATGTGGCAGGTACTGGCTTGTTCAATAGACTCTCTTCTACAGTTCCATTTTGGCGGGAAGCTTTAGCATTGAACGGTTGTGTTGTTAAAGTGCAAAGTATGGAAGACTGTGCAGAAGGTTGGGCAATGCTACTTAAGCAACGTACAGTCATTGAATTCTTGACAGCACAAGGTGTCACCCCAAAGAAGGTTCAAGCTTCAAGAGAATGCAAGCTGTTTATGGTGATAGTGTTGATGTGAGTACAGTGTGTCATTGGGCGAGTAAGTTTAAAGATGTTGAGGTGGGAACATCTGACTTGTGTGACAAACAAACAGTTGGACATCCTGTGACAGCAACCACCAAATTTCACAAGCAAAAGGTTGACAGATTGATTCAGGACAATCATCATATCACTCAGAGAGACATTTCAAGCATAATCAGCATTTCACAATAATGTTTGGGTCACATTATTGCTTTGCTTGGCTATTGGAAGATCTGTGCATGATAGGTTGAGGAAACAGAGTGTCAACTTCTTTTGTGACGGCTTCAAAAAAACTGGTTCATCATTGGCAGAAATGTATCCAATTGTCTGGTGATTATGTCGAAAAGTGAATAGTGGTAGTTAAAGAGCACATTCTATGGAGTATTTCTGTGTTTGATTTATTAAAATATTCCCATCCAAACCCAAGTAACAAAGGTGGAAGCATTACTTTTCATTCAGCCCTCGTAAAATCACTGGAATCTAATTTAAAATATAAATATATATTTGAATATTTAAAATATACACATACACAAACATTGAAACAGAATTAAACACAAATAGTATTTAAACACACTGTTAAAAGCCTGGTTGAATAAAAAAGTTTTAGCCTGCCACTGGAAGGACTGCAGGAGCGGGGGTCATTCTGGCTTCCCTGGGCAGAGAGTTCCCGAATCGAGGGACAGCCACTGAGAAGGTCCACTCTCTCATTCTCACCAGCGGAGCTTAAGATGGAGGTAGGACTGAGAGAAAGGCATCTCCTGAAGATCTCAGGGCCTGGAAATGTTTGCACAAGAAAATATGGTCAGCCAAATAGCTTGGATCTGAACCATCTAGGGCTTTAAATGTCATAACTAGCACTTTGAATTGTGCTTGGTAACACACTAGGAGCCAGTGGAGCTGCTGCAACAAGGGGGTTGTCTGCTCCCTGCAGCCAGCCCCAGTTAGCAACCTTGCTGCAGCTCTTTGGACCAGCTGAAGTTTCCGAGCAGTCCCACATAAAATGCATTATAGTCATCCAGACAGGGTGTAAGGCTCATCCTGTTCCCATCGTGGCCAGATCCGGCTTCTCAAGGAATGGACACAGTTGATACAAAAGTTTTAATGATGCAAAGGCCCTCCTAGCCAACTTCAACACCTGGACCTCCAGGTTAAGTGCCAAGTCCAGGAGGATCCCCAAACTGCAAACCTGTAACCCCATTCATTCCTATTCCCCGATCTAGCTTCCAATTGACCAGGATTACCTCTGTCTTGTCTGGATTAAGCTTCAATTTGTTTGCCTTAGTCCAATCCATTACTGATGGCAGGAACTGGTTTAGGGTCAGGACAGCTTCCTTGGCATTAGGTGGAAAGGAGTAGTAGAGTTGGGTGTAATCTGCTTACAGGTGGCACCGAAAATTGCTGAGGAAACCCAAGGTCAACAACCGGGGGTACAAACAGAAGTCCATCAGCACCACCTTCTGGGTATGGCCCTCCAGGAAGGACTGGGGCCACTGCAAGACAGTGCCTCATAGCCCCATCCCAGCGAGACAGCCTAAGAGGATACCGTGATCAATGGTATTGAAAGCCACTGAGAGATTCAGAAGAACGAACAGGGACACACTCCCCCTGTCTAGCTCTCTTTGCAGGTCATCCAGCAAGGTGACCAAAGCTGTCTCTGTTCCATAGCCAGGCTGGAAACCAAATTGAAATTGATCTAGTTAATCAATTTCATTCAGAAGTATCTGGAGTTGGGAGGCCACCACTTTCACAAAGACCATGCTCAGAAAGGGAATGCTGGACACTGGCTGATAGTTGTCTATTATAATGGGGTTCAGGGGTGGCTTTTTAAATACAGGTCTAACAACTACTTCCTTTAGCTGGAACTTTGCCTTGTTCTAGGGAGACATCGACCACCACCTTCATCCACTCTGCTAGTCTCTCTCTGACCTATTTGATCAATCAGGAAGGGCAAGGATCCAGAATACATGTGGTAACTCTCACATCTCCAAGAATCCTGTCCATATCCTCAGGCTGCACAAATTGAAAGGTATCCATCATTTAAACAGCCTTTTAGCTTTTAACTAGATGTAGTAGAAGGCATCTATTCTTCTTATTATTACTGCTATTATTATTTATTTTTATTTATTTATCATTTAAACTTATATGCCGCCACTCCCCTGGGGCTCGGAGCGGCTTACAAGAATAGCTAAAATCTAACAAAAATTAAAAGCAATTTAAAACAATTTAAAAACAACAATATCAAACATTAAAAGCCTGTCGAAACAGGTATGTCTTACATGCGCTGCAGAAACCTGGTAGGTCCCGCAAGGCACGGACTTCAGGTGGTAGAGTATTCCAGAGTGATGGTGCCACTGCTGTGAAGGCTCTGCGTCTGGTTGCTGTCAAACGCAAGGTCTTAACACTGGGGACTTCCAATAGATCTTGGTCCTCAGAATGGAGGGATCTCTGGGGTTGGTAGGGGGTGAGGCGGTCCCTCAGATACATTGGTCCCAGACCATGCAAGGCCTTAAAGGTGAGTACCATCACTTTGAAAGTGATCCGGTGCTCAATTGGTAACCAATGCAGCTGCAGTAAGATTAGGATGATGTGGCATCTCATTGGAATTCCCGCAAGAAGCCGAGCAGCTGCGTTTTGTACCAACTTGAGCTTCCGGATCACCGACAGAGGAAGGCCAATGTAGAGGGCGTTACAGTAGTCCAGTCTTGAGATGACCGTGGACTGGATCACTGTAGCTAGGTCGTCCCTGGACAGGTAGGGGGCCAGCTGTCTAGCCTGCCGCAGATGAAAGAAGGCGGTTCTGCTAATGGCGGAGACCTGGGCCTCCATTGTCAGCAGAGGGTCCAAAAGGACTCCCAGACTCTTTACCAATGATGATGGGCGTAGCGCCTCGCCATCCAGGGTAGGCAGCTGGATGTCCCCACTGCCCGGTCGACCCAGCCATAGGATCTCCATCTTTGCTGGATTCACCCTCAACCTGCTGGCATGCAGCCATCCAGTAACGGCCTCAAGGCCGTTATATTTATTTATATCCCACTTTATCTCCCTAAAGGGTCCTGTACCTTCTACTATGTTATGAAAGTATTTTTAATTGTTTGAAATTAATCTTTTAATTAAATGGGTTGCTTGGTGATTTTTAAAAATTGTCTTATGCATTGTTTTGTCTATTTTATTTAAGTTTCTGTTGTAAGCCACCTTTGGTCCACAGCATGAGGAAACAAACGTAAACAAACTATGGAATCTAACACTGTTGCAGCTTTAAAAAAATTAACAGTGGAAGCCAAGCAATTGGGATGAGAACATAATAGGTTAAGCAAGCAGGAAAGTAGACATAGGGGAAAACTGGCAGCATGCACATGCCCTCCAATTCTCCCAATCTAACAAAGATTAGCCTTAACTACTTGTCTGTTTTCACAACTTGGCAGCTACTTTTAAAAATATAATAACTTCACTCTTCCTCTCCCACTTTCCCTCTTTGCCTTCAATTTTCTTCAGTTGATGTAAACTGAATTCAATGTGCAAAACTAGTTTACACTCAATTTACTCAGAGGAATGAGAGGAGAGGGATGTTGCTCTTCTCAGTGGTCTCAGGGAAAAGCAAACTGCAGTAGCCTCTTCTAGTTTGTCTTTGCCCTCATTAATAACTTTTGCCATGTTGACCATGTTGCTTGACCTCACATATCTCTGTCTTTACCTGTGAAAAATCAAAATACAGGACCCTGTGGTAATTTGATATATCATCAGCCTAAGCGGGTGGGGAGATAGCCATCGCTTGTTAAAGTAACATCTTGCTATAAGTCTGTATCTTGATTCAGCAAGACCTTTTCCCAGTTACTTGCATTTAAAATACAAAAACAGAGCACATAAATTGTAGCATGGCTTTCCTTTCTGTTCTTCTTCTCATTAGACTGTGATCACCTGAAAGCCCCCGGTGGTGCTATGGGTTAAACCCTTGTGCCGGCAGAACTGCTGACAGAAAGGCCGGCGGTTTGAATCCAGGAAGCGGCGTGAGCTCCCATCTGTCAGCTCCAGTTTCTCATGTGATAGTAAAATATCCAGGTGTCCCCTGGGCAACGTTCTTGCAGATGACCAATTTTCTCACACCGGAAGCAACTTGCAGTTTCCCAAGTCGCTCCTGTCATGGAAAAAAAACACGTAAAAGAATCCTGCAATACTGCATGCTAATGCTTAGATTGATAATATATTCTGTGTATGGGATTGTTGCTGCAATAGGCATGGCTAGTGCAAATGTAAAAATAGATTTCCAAGCCTGAGGAAGGAAATAATAAAGGCATCCATCAGGTCCAGCTTGAAGTCATAGGAAAAATAGATAAGCAGCAGCTTTATGGAAAGGGTCCTCTCTGCCTTCTCTCTCTCTTTTAATTGTTTTGACTGGCGTGAAATACCATTGCAAAGCTGTCCTGGAAATCCAGATCTCTCAAACCAACAGTCCAGTCCTCAAAGTTTCCTGTTGGCTCAAGGCCAACAGAAAAGAACAGGGATGGAACAATTTCAGGTTGCAAGCCTTAAATGCTTTTTAAAAATTCCTTTGCAGCAGCCCAATGTTTTTGAGATAACTTTGCCAATGTTCACATAAATCCTACTGTTTGCTTCTCCTGGGTACATATTAAAGGCAAGGGCGTGTTCTGGGTTATTAATATCCTTCTTGTTATTTTCCAGGTGCCTTCTCTTATAGCCTCCTGCTATTTCCCTTAGGGACATTCTTCGGCTCGGGCCCTGGAATCAGATCTATGTGGAGGTGGTTGCCAAATGCAAATCTCAGCTGCTTTGGAAAGTTTTGCCAATATAGCTACCAATTGGAGAAGCTTTTTCAAATCATATAAACTGCCGCAATTAAATGTGTTAATGAAGTGTGACAGCCTTATTAGAGCATCCCTTCTCCTCTGTGTATTGCTGGAATGTAACATACTCTTGGAGATATGTTGTTCTGAGTTTAGAATTGATGTGACTTACATCATGTTGCCTGTGGCTTCTTAACAACTAGTACAGCAAATTCTAAATCTGAAGTGTATATATGTCTGTCTGTCTGTCTGTCTGTCTGTATGTCGCTCTCTCTATGGAAGTGTGTGTATATTTAGAGAAGGAAGGGAAGGAGGGAGGGAGGGGGAAAGAGAGAGAGAGAGATACAGCTATGACCTAGATAAAGAGGATGGGAAATAGCCATCTACTTAATCAGAACCCATAAACAAAGCAACCCCACCCCCACCCCAAACCCCCAAAGCAAATGCATAATCCCGAATTATTTTATATGCTCCAAGCCTGGACAAAAATATGAATTCCTGAGACTCCACAAGAAGATAAAAGGAATCTTGACTTTTTCTAAGCTGCATGATGGTTTGGTGGACATTGTCATATGGAAATCATTTTCTGCACTAGCTGGTAACATACATTGAATTATAAATAGGGAATATATCTGCAATGGCCTTCATGAATACCACTCTAAAGAGGCAGCATAAAGTCACCCATTTCTCTTCTACTCTTTCAATTTTAGCTGAAAACACAAGGAATATCAAAATTGGAACAACTCCTTAATACATGCAACTGGGCTAGGATAGGATAGTAGGCCTGTCGGTTTTAATTCGTTAATTCGTTATTTCGTTTTAAATTCGTTAATTTTTGCATTTACGGTACGATAACAAAACAATATTTCAAACCCGGAAGGGTTTTAAAATATCGAAACGTCAACTCCAAGAGTATTTACAAGCTTTCGCTCGTTTTGTAAATGGGGCGGACGGGCGGGGCGAAGGGGCGCCGCGAGCGCGCACCCAGTGAGCCAAGCCCCGCCCCTGCCTCTCTCTCTCGCGTTCCCTCCTTCCTCCCGCTTCTTTCCTTCCTTCTCTCTCTCTCTCTTTCCCCCTTTCTCTCTCACACACTCCCTCGTTTCCCCCCTCTAAATGGGGCGGACGGGCGGGGCGAAGGGGCGCCGCGAGCGCGCACCCAGTGAGCCAAGCCCCGCCCCTGCCTCTCTCTCTCGCGTTCCCTCCTTCCTCCCGCTTCTTTCCTTCCTTCTCTCTCTCTCTCTTTCCCCCTTTCTCTCTCACACACTCCCTCGTTTCCCCTCTTTCTCTCTCTCTTTCGCGTCCCTCCTTCCTCCCCTTCTCTCTTTCACTCCATCCTTCTCTCTCACTCCCTCCCTCTTTCTCTCTCACACACTCCCTCCTTTCCCCCCCTCTCTCTCTCGCGTTCCCTCTTTCTCTCCGTCCCTGCCTGGCCTCACTCCCTCCTTTCTTCTCTCTTCTTTCTTTCCTTCCTTCCTTCCTTCCTTCCTTCTCTCTCTCTCTCTTTCCCCCTTTCTCTCTCACACACTCCCTCGTTTCCCCTCTTTCTCTCTCTCTTTCGCGTCCCTCCTTCCTCCCCCTTCTCTCTTTCACTCCATCCTTCTCTCTCACTCCCTCCCTCTTTCTCTCTCACACACTCCCTCCTTTCCCCCCCCTCTCTCTCGCGTTCCCTCTTTCTCTCCGTCCCTGCCTGGCCTCACTCCCTCCTTTCTTCTCTCTTCTTTCTTTCCTTCCTTCCTTCCTTCCTTCCTTCCTTCCTTCTTTCTCCTTCCTTCTCTCTCTCTCTCTTTCCCTTTCTCTCTCACACACTCCCTCGTTTCCCCTCTTTCTCTCTCTCTTTCGCGTCCCTCCTTCCTCCCCCTTCTCTCTTTCACTCCATCCTTCTCTCTCACTCCCTCCCTCTTTCTCTCTCTCTCTCACACTCCCCCTTTCCCCTCTTTCTATCTCTCTTTCTCGCGTTCCCCCTTTCTCTCCTCCCTCTCCCTCTCTCTCTGTCTCCTTCCCTCCTTCTCTCTTTCTCTCGTCTCTGCCTAGCCTCACTCCCACCTTTCTTCTCTCTTCCTTCCTTCCTTCCTTCCTTCCTTCTCTTTCTCTCCCGGAGGGCGCAGGAGCCGGGCCCCCGGAGGCGGAGCGCAGGAGCTGCATCCAGGCTTGCTGTGAGTTTTCTGGGCTGTATGACCATGTTCCAGAAGCATTCTCTCCTGACATTTTGCCCACATCTATGGCAGGCATCCTCAGAGGTCTGTTGGAAACTAGGCAAATGGAGTTTGGACAGCTTGATTGGGATTAAATGGCCTTGTAGCTTCAAAGTCTGGCTCCTTCCTGCTCAGGGGAATCCTTTGTTGGGAGGTGTTAGCTGGGTCTGACTCAAACCCGCTATGTCTGTATAGTAGGCCTGTGCGGTTTCGTTTTCCATTTTAAAATATTTTTAATATTATTTTTTAATATTATTTTTTAATATTATTTTTAAATATTATTTTAATATTATTCCTGCTCAGGGGAATCCTTTGTTGGGAGGTGTTAGCTGGGTCTGACTCAAACCCGCTATGTCTGTATAGTAGGCCTGTGCGGTTTTGTTTTCCATTTTAAAATATTTTTTAATATTATTTTTTAATATTATTTTTTAATATTATTTTAATATTATTCCTGCTCAGGGGAATCCTTTGTTGGGAGGTGTTAGCTGGGTCTGACTCAAACCCGCTATGTCTGTATAGTAGGCCTGTGCGGTTTCGTTTTCCATTTTAAAATATTTTTTAATATTATTTTTTAATATTATTTTTAATATTATTTTTAATATTATTTTTAATATTATTTTAATATTATTATTAAATAATACAAAAAAAATTCTAAAAATGCGTTAATAATTACAAAATTTCGTAAATATCAAAACTTTTTTTGGAAAAGTTTTGTAATTATTTTAAATATCGAAACAAAAAAACACCCCAATTACAAAACGATTTTAGAAACAAATTTTTTCTTGATCAAACAGGCCTATAGGATAGGATAGGATAGGGTTTCACAACCAGGAGGGAGGAGGCAATGGAGGACTGCCATCCTATGTCCCCAGGCAGCGTGAGACAGGGAATGTGGGATAGCAGCCAAGACAGCTATGGCTGGTTCCAGTTAAGAACTGGCCCAGCTCTCTTGACAGCCCTAAAGTCAGTGGAAAGTCTGTTTTGGGTTAAGCCGGATCAGTCCTGTACAGTTTTTAGCCACTATGGGGCTGATCCAACTGCACCCCCACCTAAGAGGTTAATGTTGATTAGCCTAGGACTTGGTATAAAGTTACTAACTGGATTGTGAAGCATTAAGATATATAATAGAATTTTAATGTTAGAATTGTCCATGCCATCATTCTACGAATAATGTGGACTGCTAACAAGACAAATAAATAGAGCAAATCAAGTCAGAACTCTCTCTAGAAGCCAAGATTACTAAACTGAGAGTTATACTTTGAATATATAACAAAGAAGGCAAGGTTTCTTAGGAAAGAAAACCATTTGATTAGGTAGAAGGCAGTAGGAAAGAGAAAGACTGCACTATGGATGGACAGACTCAGCTAAGGAAACCACAGCTGCCTTGAGTTATTTATTTATTTACTATATATATCCCACTCTCTCACACCCCAAGGGGGACTTAGAGCGACTTACAGCATGGCAATATTCAATGCTGCATACACACTCAGATAAAACACAATACATCATATACATAAAACAAATAAAAACATATGTTGTTGTTGTTCATTCGTTCAGTCGTCTCCAACTCTTCGTGACCTCATGGACCAGCCCACGCCAGAGCTCCCTGTCAGCCGTTACCACCCCCAGCTCCCTCAAGGTCAGTCCAGTCACTTCAAGGATCCCATCCATCCATCTTGCCCTTGGTCGGCCCCTCTTCCTTTTGCCTTCCACTTTCCCCAGCATAATTGTCTTCTCTAGGCTTTCCTGTCTCCTCATGATGTGGCCAAAGTACTTCAACTTTGTCTCTAGTATCTTTCCCTCCAGTGAGCAGTCGGGCTTTATTTCCTGGAGGATGGACTGGTTGGATCTTCTCGCAGTCCAAGGCACTCTCAGAACTTTCCTCCAACACCACAGCTCAAAAGCATCGATCTTCCTTCGCTCAGCCTTCCCTAAGGTCCAGCTCTCACATCCGTAGGTTACTACAGGGAATACCATGGCTTTGACTAGGCGGATCTTTGTTGCCATAAAACTGTTAAAAACCATGATACCTATTCTAAAAGTCATCATTTGTGTTGCTAACGTTATGCCGGTTCTATATTACACTACCCAAATGCCTGATCCCATAGCCAGGCCTTCACTCTTTTCCTGACTTGGGGTGC